AGCTTGGACGCGCCGGTGGAGGTACCTAAAAAAGTGCTCTGACGGCCAAGTCAGTATGAGATTGATGAGAGTAAATATAGAGTTAAGGTTAGAGAGCAAGAGTAATAAGAGTGAAAGATTCATACTTCCGTATGGGAGATTCCCCTATTTATAGTGGTATGGCGAATGAAGTAGTTATTGGCGGGTACTGTTGACGTGGCCGACCATTCGGGTTTGTCGGGGCTATTTTGCCCGTGTCAGACGGATTTGGCAGGGTTGTACTCTGCATAGTTGACTTGTAGCTTGCAGCATGTTTCATAGTTGTATCATTGGCATGTCCTTGTTGTGTTGGCAGTATTAAGTGGGATTTGCATGTGGCTTGCTGTGATTGGCAGGTGTTTGGTTTGCAGGTGGCGTGACAGTACATTGTTAACGACGTGTCAGACAGTATGTTAGGGAAGTAGATGCGGAAAAGGGTAGTGATATTGATCCACAAGAAGCCCAACAACGTGGGATACTTGGCCGGGGTGGAACAATTGGTTTATTTCTCATGCATTTAATTGGTTTATCTCTCATGCATGTACTCGGTTTTATTGTTCATATCAATGTTATTAAAACCGTACCGGTTATCAAACCGGTTAAGGTACTGGTATAGTGGTACAGTGGTTCAACCAGTGGTTCAGTAATTAAACCGCATGCCGGTTAAACCGGACATACTTGCTTATATATATATATGTAAACCTTTAACAAAAAATTTCAAATAAGTAGATATTCATATTTATAATCCATATTCATAATTTACTTCAAATTCACACAAACAAACAACATGAAGTCTTTAATAAAATCAAAGTCTAAAGTACAAAACATATATTTATCCAAAATTATCACTTAACAAACGCAAAATACAAATAAATGACCCAAGTATCAATCATTGAAGTTGAAGAATTGGTGAAGAATTGAAAATTTGAAATTTAAAAAAAAAAAAAATTAATGTACAAACCAACCGGTTTAAACTGGTTTTGACCGGTTTTCAACCGGTTTTGACCGGTTCTATTGCATATGCGGTATAACATACGTACCGTACTGGTTAGGGGTCCGGTTCACCGGTTTTCCGGTTGAACCGGCCGGTACGGCACGGTTTTCAAAACTATGGTTCATATTGCGTTTTCATTCTTCATTAAATTTAGTAATGTAGTGCGTATAGTATAGAGTTTCAACACCAACATATGTGAATGCCTTTGAAAATATATATATATATATATATATATATATATATATATATATATATATATATATATATATATATATATATATATATATATATATATATACTACATATATATTTATATTGTTCTGCCATTGAAAAACATATGCATGTCATTCAAAATCATATATATTTATATTACATGTATATTTTTATTGTTCTTCCATTAAAAAATATATGTTTTTGCCATTGAAAATCATATATATTTACAATACATCTATATTTATATTATTTGGCCATTGAAAATGATATGTGTGTGCTTTTGCATTATAAATTGTTGATCATTAGTTGTTAATTGTTTTAATTGTTATGAAATTCTTCATTTAATCATTTTAATCATTAATATTAAAATAGTTGTTTCTTAACTAAAATAAGTGTATGTTTGATAGTGATAGTTTACTTATCTAACTTTATTTTATTGTTAGACTATTATATTTAGTAATGAAGATCATTGTTTGACTTAACATGGTGATCATGATTAATTTCATATTTGAATGAGAATTATCTGTAGTTGTTTGAGAGCCTATGACTAATTACTCACTTGACAGTGTAGTGATATTTGGGGCATTACTCATTTATTTTTATCACTAAGTTGTGTATCGGGCTCGTCATGAGGATATGTCATGAAAAAAATTGCATTGTGGCTAAGACCACTAACTTAGGTGATGTTATTGGAAAGAGTTAATTACATTAACACCCCTGAGTTTTAGTGAAATTACATAAACTACCCCTCCTTTTTTTGTCCTTACACGAACCACTTCTCCCTCTTACACAAACCCCCTTGATTTTATACATATATTACACTGACCACACATTGTAACACCGCAATTTTCGTTTTTCGGAATGATTAGAAAAATTAGAGTGTTGGAGTTTATATTGGACAATTCTCGTTTAAGCGAGAGGACCTCATCCAAGTGAGAGGCTCGATATTCGAATATGAGTTTTCCGGAGACCTTGCTTAAGTGAGGAAATGGTCGCTTGAGTGAGAGTGAAATCTGGAAAAGCTGTCAAATTCTAGCTTGAGCTAGAATTTTCGCCCAGGCTAGAGAGGAGGCCTAGCATACTGCCCGATTCTCGTCCGAGCGAGAAATACGCGCCCAGGCGAGAGCGTCAGAGTTGAAAAGTTGAAAAAGCGGCAAATTTCTCGCCCAAGTGAACCATTATCGCCCGGGCAAGGCTACGCAGATATAAAAGTGAAAAATGGGATCTAAAAACACTAATCTTCATTTTCTCTCTTCCCCTTTCTCTCCCAACGGCGGCAACACCCAAATGGACCATTCTCCCCTCCACTAAACATCAAAACTCATCAAAACCTCTTCCTATTACTTCTTGGTGGCACATTTGGGAAATCTTGGAGGTGAAAAATGAAACAATGGAGATTTTGAGAAGATGGAGGAAGATTAGGCTCTTTTGCGGAGCAACGAAGCTTATGCAACATAAGGTGAGGGAGAAGACCATTTTGGTCTTAGAGTATTTCATTAGAGTCGTCTTCTCTGATTTCCCTCAAGAATCGGAAAATGTTAACGGATAGAAACTTTCTTGGAAGTGTGTGGTCCATGTGAGAGTCTTTATTTTCCATGATGATGTATTATCCATAAAGACGGGGATATATGTGTAGGAAAACCATTTTATTAGATGAAGTGCAATATGCTCATTTATGGTAATACACCGTCATGAAAGATGGTTCTATCGTTAATATGTTATATGATAATGAATATATTCTGAGTGGTTTATTGTGATAAAAATATATGAATATATTTATGATAATGACTAAGTTGTGAGTCGCTTATTTGTTATAAACATATATGAATATGTTTGTAATAATGATTGTGTGATGAACTATTTAATGAGAATAAATTGATATGATTATGTTGTATGATAATGATTGTGTTGTGAGTTGTTTATATGCAGTAAAGAATGAGGTGAATATGAATATTATGACATGGTTGTGGTGGTGGGTATTATGGTGAAATGTGATTTAAGGGAAGTATTTAAATGTTATATGATGTTATAAAATGCATGGATTTTCTGGTTATATATGATTGTGAAACAATGGGAAGAAAATCTATTTTTAGCTCCCTTAAGAGGTTGAGCAATGTCTGACTTGCCCTATGTGGTATTGGCTCTTGGAGCAATGTATGACTTGCCCAACGTGGTATTGGCTCTTTGAGTAATGTCTGACTTGCCCTATGTGGTATTGACTCTTTGAGCAATGTATGACTTGCCCAACGTGGTATTGGCTCTTTGAGCAATGTATGACTTGTCCAACGTGGTATTGGCTCTTTGAGTAATGTCTGACTTACCCTATTTGGTATTGGCTCTTTGAGCAATGTATGACTTGCCCAACGTGGTATTGGCTATTTGAGTAATGTATGACTTGCCCAACGTGGTATTGGCTCTTTGAGCAATGTCTGACTTGCCCTATGTGGTATTGGCTCTTTGAGCAATGTATGACTTGCCCAACGTGGTATTGGCTCTTTGAACAATGTATGACTTGCACAACATGGTATTGGCTCTTTGGGCGATGTCTGACTTGCCCTACGTGGTATTGGCTCTTCAAGCAATGTATGACCAGCGTTATGAGATACAATATTGCTTTAGGGAAATATTGTAATGATGTGTAAGTATGGAATTGCCTTGAGTTTAGTGTTGTAATTGTTTATTGGATGAGGGTATTGTATGTTGATTTATGATGAAGATTGAATTGGATAAATCATATAAGTATGTTGTACTAGATGCTAAATGAAGAAGTGATTATCCTATAGTATGTTGTAAAGACCCAAATTCTACATGTGAACACCCGATTTTGTCCGGCCTATTTACAATACTTTCAAAAAAGGTGTCAACAGTTCTTTTGTGAAGAAAAGAGAATATTTTTTTTTGGAGATCTTTGAACCATTTGTGTCTCTTATGATTATTCAATCGTAAACTATCAGTCGCAAAACCTTTGTATCGACGAAGCTATTTCGAATAAATCTTACTCTAGAATTATTGTGATGAACATAGATAAACGCATAAAGTTTGATTCAAAACATTTTTCTAGTTCCTGAATCTCAGGTATAAATCCAAAGCAGGAAGTTGAATGTACTAAGGGAGTTATAATTGTATTAGCTATAAAGTATGATAATTAGTGATGTGATTGGTCTTATATCACCAATTTTCACGTAATGTGTCACAGTGTCATGTATTATGATTTGTCTAGTAAGTATTACTTATTAAAGACTTGTTTTCTATGTGGCATTGGTTTAATTTGAGGTATAATTTGTGGCAAGAATGTTATTGACATAAAAAAGGACATAATCCTCTAGTTCATCAATTGAGCATGCCAAATATTTCATCTGAAATGTCCGCAATAGAAAAGTTTCAACAACAACCACTACCACCTAATAAAACAACCATTACGTGTTCCAGTACAATATTCAAAAGAATATGACCATCTTTCTCTGACACCTTCTCATAGTAGCACCCTATACACATTGCCCTATCTTCTTCTTCTTCTTCTGCATGCATAAGGCACCATGGCAGAAAGATTAGTGGGGCTTCTGTGCTACTTGATCTTGTGATGCAAGACAACTTGCAATTGCAAACATTGAAAAGAGTAGCGATGACACAACAATCTTGATGCTAAACAGAAAAACAGATGGGGTGCACTCTGTGAGCAATATATAATTGAGGCACTTGATTATCTGGAGGATAAGAATAATCAAAATGACATCATTGGAACCTTTCGTGATATGTGCTACCGAATGCTTTCTTTCAAGAAGCAGTGCATCGAATTGATGAATTACTATGCTCCTATATTTTTCTCACAAAGAACTTTGGTGCTAAATTGTTGCCTAATGCCCAAGCAGCAAGAGGCTCCACAGCCTCAACCAGCTTCAAAACCTACAAACCCAGGAAGTTATAATTAGAGCAGTCATGAAATAGATTCAGAGGAATATGGACAACCATAAGTCATCAGAATTGCAAGAATGGGGCAGTAACAAATATATGGCAGCATCTCAGTTACAATTCTCCCAATCAAATAGCATAAATGACAATAAAGGGCAGTTTCAAAGGCACACAAAAAGACAATCAGACCAAGAGTAATGGTTTCAGTTTCAGCAGCTGTAATCACAATCATCAATGGGTGGTTTTTTTTCTATTTCTTAATTGATTAGGAAAAGGATTAATAAGGAGAGTTATATGCTCCTAATGGGCAGCCAAAAGACATATAATGGGCTATAAAAGGATAGCTAAACAAAGATAAAGGAGGATCCTTTTCAAACTAACACAATAGGCATCACACAATAGGCAAAGAACACCCATATTCCAGACACACTCCTATCACTCAAGCAAAACAGATCACAAGCACAAAGGGGGTAAATACATTCACAGAACCATCCCATAACAAGTATCACGGCTAAAGATCAAGTAGGGAGATCAACCGACGATTGGCGAGTAATCAGAGACAACAGTTAAAAGGTAAGTCTTTGGTAGGGTGTTTATAAAAAACACATATATAGAGGCACTTTGTGCATCATATATTGATAACATAAACTGTATTAAACCAAGAAACATCCAATGAAGGCATCTCATATCCTATGAATGCATCATTTTTATTCTATATGCTTTAAACATGTACCTTCTTGTTACTAGTTTACACAAAATCACACTTAGTCACATTGGTTGAAATATAAACAAAAGAATGTATCACGGTAACACTCAAACAAATTTTGATTATTCTTGTGGACAAGCCAATACCCAGTTCCATTTTTTACATGCATACCACTGGTTCATGTCGCACAAAAATGAATAAAATTGTATCAAACGAAGGATCTGAGTCCTTACCGAGACCCTTTGCCTCTCAATTGTACCGATTTAAAACCGTAACCTCACCGCTACCACCACCGTCGGAAACCATAACGACTCAGTATAGGAAGGAGCCATGTCGGCCCGAGCGACTTAGAATATATCTTCGACCTCCTTTCGGCGTTGCCGCCGTTCGAACAAAGAAGATGAAGGAATGAGGTAGAGGAGAAGAAAGCAAGAAGTTAGGGATTTCAAATCCCATTTCAGGTTCTTTTTTTGGGGTCTGACGCAAAGACCCCCAAGTTATTTATTTTTTTTTGTTGATTTTTCTGTTTATTTTAACTAATCTATTATGCTTTCTCTCCCTTATATTTTTATATTGCTTTTATTCATTTGTTTTAATAAGTATTTGGGTTAACAATTGTTTTAAGTTGAAATATTAAATTATATATTAATAAATAAGGATTATCCTAAATTATGTTAACAATTGGTGTTTTAAAATAATAATAAAAACTAATGAAAAAAAATCATCTCTATATAATACAAATTACCTTATTACTTAACCGAATTTTAATGGAATTTTTATAGTAAGGTTATGGTTCGAGTTGACTCTGACTTCTCTGAAAATGGGAAGAAAGTGAGCGACCAATACCGACTCTAAACTATTAATTCTATGTCAAAATGTTTTAAATAAAATCATCTTATTATTTAACCGAATTTTAATGGAATTTTTATAGTAAGGTTACGGTTCGAGTTGATTCTGACTTCTCTAAAAATGGGAAGAAGGTGAGTGACCAATACCGACTCTAAACTATTAATTCCATGCCGAAATGTTTTAAATAAAATCATCTTATTATTTAACCGAATTTTAATGGAATTTTTATAGTAAGGTTACGGTTCGAGTTGACTCTGACTTCTCTGAAAATGGGAAGAAGGTGAGCGACCAATACCGACTCTAAACTATTAATTCCATGTCAAAATGTTTTAAATAAAATCATCTTATTATTTAACCGAATTTTAATGGAATTTTTATAGTAAGGTTACGGTTCGAGTTGACTCTAACTTCTCTAAAAATGGGAAGAAGGTGAGTGACCAATACCGACTCTAAACTATTAATTCCATGCCGAAATGTTTTAAATAAAATCATCTTATTATTTAACCGAATTTTAATGGAATTTTTATAGTAAGGTTACGGTTCGAGTTGACTCTGACTTCTCTGAAAATGGGAAGAAGGTGAGCGACCAATACCGACTCTAAACTATTAATTCCATGTCAAAATGTTTTAAATAAAATCATCTTATTATTTAACCGAATTTTAATGGAATTTTTATAGTAAGGTTACGGTTCGAGTTGACTCTGACTTCTCTGAAAATGGGAAGAAGGTGAGCGACCAATACTGTAACGCCCCGAAAAATACACCTTAATTTTAATGCGGAAAAATGGGTAAATTTTTTTTTTGAATTGGTGATGTAAAAATATTGTTTCCTTTTTAAAATGTTTCTTTTTCGGGACATCACCTTAAGTAACATATTATGCGGAAATCACTAACTGTTACCTAACGGTAACTGGAATGATACAATACTTCCCTGGAATTTACTTCATCATTCAACAGTTAGTATTTATACAAAATATCTAATCGTGGTGGAACATACCCATCGCCCAACTAACATATCAAAATGCTATACTGCACAACATCCCCAAAACATGCACAACAAGAAGAACAGCAAACCCAGAGCTCAACGGCTAGATACCGCACTGCTAGAAGTGCTAGAACACTCAATGGGATCCTCCTCTGTGCCAGAGTCGGGTGAGAGTTCTATCACCTTGATGGAACTCTCTATGTTCACCAGCTCTATCACTCCATCCTCGTCAGCATCCGCCTCAGCCTCTATCTTAGTTGACTCATCCTCCATCGGCTCCGACGAGGAGCTTGGAGGGCCGGGAAGGGTTCTCCGTATACATGTAGAGTTCTCGTCTATCTGTCCAAATTATAAACAAGTACAAGGATAGACAAGTAGAGAGAGTAAGACATCTAATGAACAAAATTCATTGACGGCGTGGACTTACTCTGAATAGGACACTCAGACAAAAATATATATTTCATAACATGCAATTCAATTATCTGACAAATCACATAATAATATACAGTCATCGTACAATATAAATATATCGTCGTAATTAATATATCATGGATCTCACATGCACAATACTAAAGAGGAATAATGATTATATCTCAAGTATAAAAATAAACGTTTGTGCAATGCAATGTATGAATGCTATGTCATTTCATCCACCTTACACCATTATCCACCCAAATAGCCTATTCGGAAACAACCGAGAGTACAGGTCTCATACCAAGCCGATTGTACGCACCAAAATAAATAACATCCTCGCAAGGATGAATGATCGATCTGTTCCAAAGGAACTGTCCATAATAGGACGGTGTCGTAGCAACGCTTTCTGGGCATCCCTCTCATCGATCATGATTGCAAATCGAGGGGTCGTCAGAGATTGTCTAGTTTGCGCTGTGAGAACTGTCCGATCCAACAGGATATCCTCTCCTAGGAATACAAGGGACTCGTCTCACCTAGACTCTCCCTCAAGGCTTTGTTGACGAACCACCGTCAAGCAAAGTCGCCCTCCTTGTATCTCAGTGCTCAAACGTCATCCTGTAATGTTTCCTCTCCACTACTTCGTTATTCATAATGCATATGCTCTCTAACCGAAGTTAGCAAAATCCGAACTCTTAATCATTCTTTTATATAATCGGCCCATCTTAAGACATCTCCTAAAGGATGTCCGCTCCAAAAGGAATGCTTCTTATGGGACCCGATATTTCTCATTTATATCAAATGTTTTTAAACCTTGTATTTCAAAATTATCACATACATATCATTCCCATAATAATCAATCAAACATTATAATTCAAGAGTAAACATGGTATTTGCATATATAAACATAACATAAATCGGTATAAGAAATATTGCTGTACTTAATCCAAACAAATATGCAATTGATTAAGTACAAGCTTTCTTAATACCCAGGGCAACTCCAAACTTTTAAGATAGTTTGGAGGTTCGGGTGCCATATTCGGACACCACTATGTCGCGATGTGTTCTCTCTCACCTGAGTGTGTCGGGTCGTTAGGTTCTCTGTTTGCAGGTGAGCTTACTTGATCCGTTCTCCTCTCGAACTCATCGTTATGCCAAAATAACGTTAATTAGTTAAATGACGATAATTATTATACTTACGAAACAACTTTTTACGCGAAGATAAAACTTCCGATTTAAAATGAATTTAATTGCTTTCGTCCATCCAATTCAAGGTTGAATATCCTTGAATCATCATTTGTCATCGAAAGTCTTACAATCAAATAATACTTTTTAAAGTAAAATTTTCAATAAAACTTATACCGAAATTATGTCGTAATCTGTGGATATACACCAGGCTAGTTCCCAGGAAAGAGAGGTGGGTCATAAAGACACCCTTAAATACCAAGTCTTTCCTTAGACAGAACCTTTCTAGACATGTATTCCCACTTCATTGTATTTTTCCGATAATTCATAAATCTTATTTTTGTAAGTAAAACATTTTTACTAAAACTAACCTTTTTAAAATAAGATCATTAAGCTAGACTTATCCTTTTTAAAGTAAGTCAATTTAAACAAAATCAATATTTTTAAATCAATACTTTTTAAGTAAATCTTACCATTTTAAAGTAAGTTCACTTAACTAAGATTCAACATTTTTAAATCATTTTACCATCTAAGACTTCATAACACTTTAAGTTTATAAAGTCAAGACTTTTAGGTAACTCTCATTATTTCAAGTATACAACTAAAACAAATTTTCATGAACATCTTAACAACTCCTAATTTTTTAGGAAAAAACCTCAAGGGTTAGTAAGTGTTATTTTCATAGTCATGAAAAAGAATGACTCTTAATTTAATATTTTACATTAAACATCTTTTAGTTATTCTTACCACTTTAAAGTAACTCAACTAAAATAAATACAACAATTTTCTATGAACATCTTAACACCTCCTAATATTTTAGGAAAAAACCTCAAGGGTTAGTAAGTGTTATTTTCATGGTCATGAAAATAAATCCTAAGGTAAGACTTTCTACTACTTTAATATCTAAAACTTCATAACACTTTAAGTTTATGAAGTCAAGACTTTAATAAATCATCTTTTGTCCCAAATCATTATTTTAACTTGGGAATCAAAGAGTAAAATATGTAAACCACTTTTAAAACATAATACTTTCTAAAAAATGAAATATTTTCAACAACTCATCAACATCATAAACTTTCAAGAATAAAATACAAACTTTTTCCTAAACACATTAAAGGTTCCTTTGATGTTAAAATCATCACCTTTAAACATATTCAAATACTAACAATAATTTCTAATATTTCCAAATAAATAATTCATCTAACCTTGTCCAAAGATATAGTTTTTCCATCTAAGAACAAGGAATAAATTTCAAGATTTACAAAAGTCAAAAACTACATAAAGGTTCATATGATTTTATTATCATCCCCTTTAGTTATGCTTTCATAAAATACTTAAAGAACAAATATAAACTCTACTTTATGAACAAAATAATAAAACATCATAACTTTCTATGAAGTATGAGAAGAAGATGAAGAAGATAAAATAAAAGACTACCTTAGTTTGTAATATTAGTGTAAAAATGAGAAGATGGGGTGAGGTATTTATAGGAGAGCCTCACCCTCATCAAATCAGAAAATTTAATGCAAAGTAAGTAGCTTTAGACTAGCATAGGTGATGTGTCTAATGGTGGTGGAGTGAGAGGATTTGTTGAGTGTTTTTAGGGGTTTTTGGAAGCTTTTGCATTACTTGTGTAACAAGTAAGTGGCTCATGAAATGATGACTTCCAACTTTATTGATATGATGTAATTTCCCAATAAAAGTCGTGTCCGAACATCTTCGGATAATTTCGTCCGGAAATATACAATCTCCCGATTTTGGTTTACGGTTAGAACTTCGAAACACAGAATTTGGAGTGAAAATATTTAGAAAATAGATATGGGTACACTAGGGGTCTAGATTTACTCGAAATGAAATTACGAAGCCAACGGAGCGATCGGAATTCGATTCCGAGTTACGGAACTCAAAATCACATTTTTGAGCCGTATCGAGCGGAATTTACCCCCGACAGTGGTCCAGAACCCACTGTCTCCGAAATTATCAAAATTTCCCATAAAATAGGAAATAATCAAACAAAGCTAAAACTTAACTATGGC